TACCGCACAGTCCCTGAGCATATTTGTTTTCCCTCGGCCCGGCACTGCCTATACTACAAACGATCTATATAGATCAAGTCTAGATGTTCTTCTGGTATGATCTCCCATCTTAGTGTGGTTCATTTTCAATTCAAATGGAGTTAAAATGTTTCTCTCAGAGTTGTATATTTTCAGAGACCCTCGTTAGTCTTTGATACACTATACGCAACCCCTACCTTATGCAACTTTGAAAGCATTTCAGTTCGTCACCGTTTTGTGAAGGGAATCTAGAAGCGAGAAAGATCCTATACGTTCACCATGTTGATGAACAATGAAACAACGACTACGTGTATGGCCTTTACAAACAAAGATTCATAATCTTGGTTTCAGGCCTATGATCATTTAATCCCGTCACGTTTACGAGACTTATTTCAGCATAACTAATGGTTTTTCTGGCAAACCATTTACGATGTTATATAAATGTTCCCGCATCCCGGTGTACATGATAACAATCACAGTTACATTCTGCCAGGAACGCTTACGGGGAGTTTGGGGTTTTTGTTTGTTGTTCAACTAAGCACTCCATATTTCATCTATGATGGGGGTCTGGAAATAATCAAGTCCGGACAAGACAAGCCACTCATTGACATTTTGAGCATTATTTGGTTGATGACCAGTTCTGATCCGGATCTTCACGTGTCGGACAGTAATGAGTGAGTGAGTGACTTTAGTTTTACGCTGTACATACTAAGTAATATTCCAGCTATATGGCGGCGGTCTGTAAATAATCGAGTCTCGACCAGACAATTCAGTGATCAACGTCATGACCATCGATCTACGCAATTGGGATACGATGACATGTGTCAACCAAGTCAGCGAGTCTCACCTCTTTCGACAAGCATAGGTTACTGAACACCTATTCTAACCCAGATCTTCACAGGTGTAATGACCTCTTCCCGACGTAAATGGCATTCAGAATGATGAATAATATAATTAGAGGAAAAAAAAAAAAAGTTGATTATATAATTTATGTGAAATTGGTTAAGTGAATCAACCATTAAAGAACGGGAACGTGTGAACTAGGTTTTAAATTGTTCTACAAATGTTTATAGTACAAAATATTGTTTGGATACTCTTTCCGCTCTTGAAACTTGAAAGTTGGATTAATTCGTTTTGTGATTCTATTTTGGATATTAGTTGTCGAAGTAGTATGAGGCTTTGTTTCTTTTTAGAAATCTGTACATATAAAAAAAAAAATATATAAATATATATATAATTAGACGAATTGGACATAGTTTGAATATACCATTTCTGAATGCTGGAAATCATGGAGAAATAAGAACATCTTGGTAGATGTGTTTTAGACATGACCATTTAATGAGGTTCCTTAGAATGTCTAATGGTGGTGAGCTATGCATTGTTCCGAAACAATAATTGTTTACACAAATCACTGGTATTGTCATATCCACTGTATCTTTTAAAACGAAATGTCAGTTTATTTGTGGGCGGTGGGGTAAGCAAATGGTAAAAGCGTTCGCTCGTCAGGCCGAAGGTTCGATTCCCCACATGGGCACAATGTGTGAAGTCCAATTCTGGTGTCCCCCCAGCAGTGATACGGCTGGAATATTTCTAAAAGCAGCGTAAACGTAAACTCACTCACTCCCCAGCATATGTGTCCCATAACCTTATCGAAGTACAAAATCCATTTAAAAGGTAAACTGGAAACGATGAAAACCGATTGAATGTTCATTTCTTTCTTAAACAGAAGAAAATAAAGGGACATAGTCAAATCGTTGTAAAACACGGGACTCTGGGGTACGAACGTCTCAGTTTTCATTTGCATTTTGTCGATGTGTACTGTCTGCTTACGCTCGTATTGATCGGGAATGTGTAAATATCAGCCAAGTTGTATCTCCGGGACATAGAGGTTTCATACGACTGGCGATATCGATCTTCCCTCACAGAGAAGATTAAACCATGCAATCAAATTGGGTCATTCTGCTTGATCGCGGCAGCTCTTTGAACTGGACAAGTAAGTGCATGTTCCCCCCTGCCATCGATAGGATACTCAAGTGCTTCTCCACGGTATGGTGTTATTGTTAGAACTGAATTGTCAAACTGTTTGAGACTCCATACATAACATGTGAACATGTAACCAATGTCCTACATTGTTCGTAAATCATTTAAGACAACAAAGTTTTGTAATGGATACAAGCCAGTTATTAAATGCAATCCTGAAATGCTTCTCCATATATTATAGTGTGTTGTTATTGTTAGAACCGAACTGTAAAACTGTGTGAGACTCAAAACAGAGCATATATAATTTAACCATTCCTACATTATTTGGAAATCATTTAAGACAACATAGTTTCATAATGGACACAAACCAGTTATTAAGTGCGATCCTTCCCATCTTTGACAGGATCTGAGTGAGTGGGTGGGTGGGTAAGTGAGTGAGTGAATGAGTTAAAATTGAAATGTTACGTCGCATCGGCATCATTTCAGCCATACAGCGACGAGCCGAAGGTAATTGACATTCTATACATACTGTCTAATGTCAGGTGACAAATACTCTGGCAACTGCATAAAGACCCTGACGTCGTGTAACACAAAGCACACATTTGGAAACTGGATGTGACGAAAATGAAAAATGGGTCATAGAAGGCTATCAAAACGTTGCTGGGATGGAAGTTGGTGCCGAAATTTCAAACTTGAGGTACAAAACACAACCGTGATACGATCGAATATCTATTTCTTGTCGGTTTTATTTTAGCAGCCATCAAACATGGGCATAGATCGTCTTTTGCCCATCAATTCATTATCTGTGTTGTGAACTCAACCATTGGCTGATGTAAAATGTATCTAATCCAACATTGTGTCCCAGTCCCGAGCAGTATCTGAATACTCAGAATCTACTCTATTATATGATTGAAAATTATCCAGTCCTGTAATGTTTTTAGCAAATACAGTCTTTCAATAGAAATCAATATTAGACTGGCTGTTGATAAATGACCCCAGCAAGATTTAGTCCTATGAATCTCATGGGCTCGTCAACGTAATGTATTTGGCATTCGGTATATATATTCCACATGCAATATTCAGAAGTTGTAATGACACAGACGCCAAGGGAGACGTCCCAGCCCTGGCATCAACAGAGGAGCAAAGGCACGCATGTGACATATACCCATTCGTGTGCTTATACTATCGAGAATGGATTAAGTGCTGGAACTTACTTGAATGGATTGCAACAGTATTATACAATTATAACGGTATTTGCCAGTAATATGACTTTTTAGTGCCAAGAACTGAGTTGTATGGATTGAAACAGAAGTGAACCAATCTAACGGTATTTGCCAACCATATGACTCTGTGGTGCACGGGAAATGAGTGGTATGAATTGCAACAGTATCTGCACCATAATAACGGTATTTGCCAGCCGTATGACTCTTTGATGCACAGGAACTGAGTTGCATGGATTGCATCACTATTGCACCATTACAATGGTATTTGCCAGCAATATGGCTATTTAGTGCTAAGAACTGAGTTGTATGGATTGGAATAATATTATCGCTCCATTCTAACGGTGTTTGCCAGCCAAATGACTCTTTCGTGCGCTGGAACTGAGTGGTATGGATTGCGACAGTAAATGTCCCATAATAACGATATTTGCTGGACTAAAGCTTAGTTCCTGAATATAAATAATTTTAAAAGAAGCAAACAATTCCTTTTAAACTGAAAACGAGCCCGGTGAGAATCAAGAATTGCTTCAATTAGACTTTAGCATTGCAGAAAGAGCTAGGCAGAATGGAAAATAAAGTGGTTATGGGACTGTGAGACAGAATACGGTATTTGACTCTGTAGGGCATAGGATAGTCTGTCTCACAGTCCCTGAACCACATTAATTTCCCTACTGCCAAGCTCTCTCTGCAGTGCTAAAGCCCTAAATAAAGCAAGTCTAGATTTCCTCAGGTTCGAATCTCTTGTCTCCCTTGGGCTCCTTATCAATATAAATGGGCTTGTTTGTTACTATCAAAATTATATATATTCAGAGACTAAGCCTTAGTCTAGGCATAGGACTAGGTCGTATTGATTGCAGCAGTATATGCACCATTATAAGGATATTTGCCAGGATTATGACTCTTTAGCGCCAGAAGCTGACATGGATGGGTTGCTGTAACAGCAGTTGTATTATATCGGAAGATGTTGGGTATCTGCCTTTTCACGATGAACTTTTACAAAACTTACATATGTAATCAAAATATGGTTCAGGTAAGGATCCGGTCATTTTATGATATTTATTCTAATAAGGGCACATTCCACTGGATTGTTACCCTTAGCCTTTATGCTTTATGGTTTGTCTTCTAAAGCAACTATGCTCATATTTGGTTTGGATATTAGTGCACCACGCCCACCGCCGAAGCCATACTACTCACCAGATCACATCTGCTCGTTTTGATAGTTATTACCATTTAGACCAATTAGAATCTTGATGATGGCAACTATGCAGACTCAGGAGTTAATGAGACAGACTATAGCTACCAATACCGCAGACATGATACGATTGACAACCCTGTCAGAGAATAGGAAGGATGCTTGGTTCTTCATGACGAAGTTTCTGACGCATTTAGCAACAATTTGCCTCGCAGTTGGATAAACCAGCTGAGAGAGCGCTCCTAAGACACCTTGGTAATGCATCGTCGAAAACATGACTCGACGGTCTATCCAGGTACACCGCGTGCAGTATTGCTCCATCCAAGCTCCCAGGCAGATGAAGACGGTTAACTTGGGACGAAATGGACCGGATTTCCTCTATAATGAAACCCATGGTTTGGTTGATTTTGTGTATGAGATCACATCTCGCCATGTTGACAATTTGTCCTGTGGAGGTTCCAGAAGGTTTATTTTTCAAATACCAGATCGCGACTGCCAATATCTCCTAAATCACGATCTGTGGATTTGTCAGGTAATATTCAACACTTTCTATCCCTTCAATATCTTCAAAATAATAAATAATGCTGTGCTGTCACAAACGACAGTGAAACCTTTTTTATGTATTTTTCTCTTAGGACCGTAACTGGTTTGTCAAACCAGTGCCGATACCTGGTTTCGGTTTGCGCACGATCAGCACGTGCAAGTTGGTTAAAAGCGAGAGTTTCTGTCCGTCATTTTAAAACAGGGATAGCCGTGAGTCAGTCGGCCAGGCAGCATCACGCTGAAGTCAACATTGAAATGTTGCTCCTTTTCACACACAAACCCACAGTGAATCACCAAAGTGTATGTATTCTTTACTTTTTGTATTTATGGCACATTTCATGCTACAGGTATATTCTAAGCATTGTAATGCTATTACCATATATTTTTCCTATTTCATATGGATAAAACCATTACCTAATGAATTTACTTTCGTTGTGGAATTTCCTAATATTTATGGAGATTGTTGGTATTTCATTTCTGAATGTTCACCATAGTAATTTGGTCGATTTTCATGGGAATTTGATGGTATTTACTTGAAATTTCTTCATGTGTTATTCATATTAACGTGTTCATGAAAGTAGGTTTAAAGGACACTGGCTTATATAATTTTGTTCATTGGTACATTGCTTTACCATAACAGTTCAAGATACATGTATTCATGGATTGACATAAAAGTTAATGGGAGATGTTTGTAAAACATTTTGAGGACTATATTTCATTGTTTATATGGACTTATGATCCCTTTATTTGTTACAGCTTTTTACCCTATTCCACATCCTATTCACCACAAGACAAGTGGACACAAGTCCATAATGTATATATGTATGGTAGCAATGTATACAACGAATAAAGGTGATGAATTTAACTGGATTTCGGGTTCGCTATTCAGCATAGTAAAAAGACTTTGAAAGGACTAAGGCAACTGTGGAATGGATGGTGAGAAGAGGCTGAGGACAATGACTGAGAGGGGTGAGCAGATGTATGAGACAATTAGGGACAGACATTTATCTAAGATAGATGAATCCTGGAATAGTCTTGGATTACAGATTAACTGTGATGTTGATATTCTGTCTCTTCGTCGGGAAGAAAGGGATCTTATGAAGAGAACTGACTATTTTTACACGTTGTGTACTGCTTACCAAATGTTTCTTGAGAGGAACAATACTTCTATGAGTAGGAATGATCTACAGGATTTCTTACTTGACTTTGATGAGCGTCGCGACTTCATCGAAGAGGCCAGGACTACAGTAGATAATGCCATCCAAAAGCAGTTAGAGACAGTATCTGATCAGGTGAAACGGGAACAGATGAGTGTTGCAGGAAGCAAACGATCAGGAGGATCGTCCACTTCTGTACGTTTAAAGGCAGAAGCCGCTAAACTGGAGCTAGAGTTTGCAGTTAAGGAAAGCCTTGTAAAGAAGAAACAAGCTTTATTGGAAGAGGAAGAAAGAATAAGACTTGCAAGAGTTACTCGACAGAAGAAGGATCTTGAGACAGAGCTTGATGTTTTGAGACGGGAAAAGGTAGTGGTGTCAGCTATGGCTAATATGGAGGCTGATGCAGAGCTTGTTGGTTTGCCTCAACAGGATTCAATCGAGAGGACACAGCAGTACGTCGAACGATGTGCTAACCTAGAAGCTACTGACGATGCAAGAGGTCAACAGACACGTCCACCTATTGACCCGACGGCAGGGTTTAGCAAGTACATGTTGAGGAGAGACTTACAGATGTCACGTCTGCGGAGCTACGATGACAGACCAGAGACTTACAACTGCTGGAAATCAAATTTCAAGGATGTGCTGAGGGACCTTGATGTCACTGCTGCAGAGGAGATGGACCTGCTTATTAGGTGGCTCGGTCCCGAGTCAGGGAAGCAGGCACAGGGTATCAGGGTATCTTGTACTGCAGATCCAGTGCTTGGTCTGCAGAAGATTTGGGACAGACTTGATGAACGTTATGGCTCACCAGAGTTGATAGAGATTAACTTGAGAAAGAGACTTGGTAGTTTTCCTAAGTTAACTTTGAGAGACAATGATAAACTGTATGAGCTGGCAGATTTATTGTCTGAAATTGAGTGTTTAAAACTGTGTGATAAGTACAGGTCATTGCTTGCATACTTTGATTCTGCTGTTGGTGTTTTGCCCATTGTATCTAAACTACCATTTAGCTTTCAGGAGAAATGGAGATCCACAGCCTTCAAGTATAAGGAAGATCACAGGGTTCCCTTCCCACCATTCAGCTTTTTTGTGAACTTCATCAAGGAACTAAGCCGTATCCGCAACGATCCAAGTTTCTTCGTGGAACAGGCAAATCTGAAAGAAGAGAAGCCATCCTACGACCAGAACAAATCAAGACCCAGAGTAGCGTCGAAGAAAGTGGAGGTAACATCTCGGTATGACACTATGAAACCAGTTTGTCCTTTTCATAATACAAATCATCCTTTGAATCAATGTAGGGCATTCAGCACTAAAACCTACAAGGAAAGAAAAGACTTTCTCAAGAAACATGGCTATTGCTACAGATGTTGTATGAATAACAAACACTTGGCTAGAAACTGTAGAGAGGAAATTAAATGTGGAATATGTGGCACATCTAAACATCCTACATTCCTGCATTTTGAGTATTCTTCAGCACAATCTGAGGACAGAACTTTACAGGAGAACGGTGGGGAGAAACAGAAGGACCAGGTGATCTCCAAGTGTTCACAGATCTGTGGAAAGACTTTTGGGGGTAAATCTTGCTCTAAGACAGTCTTAGTGAGGGTATATCATAAGGACAAGCCAGAATTATCAGTAAAGGTTTATGCTATTCTGGATGACCAGAGTAATGTCACACTCGCTCGCCCAGAACTATTTGATCTCCTGAAGGTTGACACCGATGACATTCAGTACACAATTTCCTCATGTACAGGAACTTCAGACACCTATGGTAGAAGAGCTTCTAACTTAGTAGTTGAATCATTTGACAGATCACACACTCTTGATGTTCCACATGTCATTGAATGTCCTCAGGTACCAGATATGAGGGAAGAAATTCCAACACCAGAGATAGTTCTCAGTTATCCACATCTACAGGATGTCCAGATTCCCCAACTTGACAATGACGCACAAATATTGTTGTTAATAGGTCGAGACGTCATTGAAGCACACCATGTCTTGGACCAGAAGATTGGACCCAAAGGTTCCCCTTATGCACAGCTGCTTGCTTTAGGGTGGGTCGTGATAGGAGAGACATGCCTCGGGAAGGTTCACCGACCCAACCATGTGACAGTCAACAAGATATACATCTCAAGGACAGGACAGGATCATCGGGGATCTGTTTTTCATCCATGCCCTAATAACCTTTATGTGGAAAAGGTTAGCTCGATTTTTGAGGTCACAAAGGATGACAATAAACAGGGTAAGTCAATGGAAGACATAGATTTCTTACAGATAATGGACAATGAGATGACTATGGGTCCCGAAGGATTCTGGACAGCACCCCTGCCATTCAAGCCAGAGAGACGTCGTCTTCCAGGTAACAAATCACAGGCTTTTCATCGAGCATATTCACTGGACAGGAGTCTTCAGAAAGATCCCATAAAACGCGCCCACTTCGTAGACTTTATGAAGAAAATCTTTGACTCAAACCATGCAGAACTGGCACCACCATTAGAGGATGGTGAGGTCATTGGTATCTACCAATTTTTGGAGTGTATCACCCCAAGAAACCCGATCAGATAAGGGCAGTCTTTGACTCTTCAGCAGTGTGTGATGGTATATCATTGAATAATGTACTTTTGCAGGGCCCAGATCTCATGAACAGTCTTCTTGGTGTGTTGTTGAGGTTCAGGAAAGAGGAAGTGGCAGCAATGGCAGACATTCAAAGTATGTTTCACTGTTTTCAAGTCAAAAAGGAACATAGGAATTTCCTACGTTTTTTCTGGTATGAGGATAATGATCCTTCCAAAAGGCTCACCGAATACAGGATGAGAGTTCACGTGTTTGGCAACAAACCATCCCCATCAATAGCGACATATGGACTGAAGAAAGCAGCCACTCAAGGTCAAGACATTTATGGCCTCTATACTAAGACTTTCATTGAAAATGAATTTTATGTAGACGACGGTTTGACGTCATGTCCAACCCCAGAGGAAACAGTAGATCTCTTAAAGAGAACACAGAAATCCCTACAGGAAAATGGAAATCTCAGGCTTCACAAGGTTGTCTCTAACAGCAGTGTTGTAATGAAAGCTTTTCCTCAAGAGGATCTGGCCAAGAACTTGATGAATTTGGATTTAAGGACAGACAGCTTTCCCCTTCAAAGAAGTTTAGGAATGCTATGGAACATCAACACAGACACTTTCACTTTTCGTTCATCTAGAGAGATGAAACCATGCACTAGAAGAGGCGTGCTGTCAACAGTCCATAGTATTTTTGACCCCCTTGGATTCATCGCACCTATTGTCATTCAAGGGAAGCAAATCCTGCAGGACATAGCGAGAGACAAGTACGATTGGGATGATCAGTTGGATTTAGGTAAGGTATCAGAATTTAAAAAGTGGAGGGATTCTCTTATACTACTGGAGGACGTAAACATCTCTCGTATGTTTGTTCCTTCATCATTCAGACATTCAGTTAAGGGGATTCATATTTTTGCAGATGCCTCTGAGAAAAGCATAGCTGCTTCAGCGTACCTTCGTACTGTAGATAAACATGGCGTATCCCACAATGGGTTCATTTTGGGAAAGGCTAAGGTAGTCCCAAGTCATGCTCATACTATACCCAGGTTAGAGCTCTGCGCTGCTGTATTAGCGGCAGATGTTGCTGACTGTGTGTCCAGGCACCTGAATTTACCACTAGACTCTGTACACTACTATACGGATAGTAAGATTGTGTTGGGTTATATCCGGAACACATCCAAGAGGTTTACCATTTATGTATCCAATCGGATTCAGAAGATCAGGAGAATATCTATGCCAGATCAGTGGATCTATATACCATCTGACATGAACCCTGCAGATGTTGCTACCAGACCTGTGTCGATGACAAACTTTGGAGAAAATAAATGGCTTAAAGGTGTACCACACTTTCTTGACAGAACAGGGAATATGCAGCTTCAAGAGGACCAATCAGAGTTTGAAGAGGTTGTTACAGCTGTAGCAACAAAAGTTCATGTAGGTCAATCTTTAAGATCGGAAAGATTTGAGAGGTTCTCAGATTGGAAATCTCTGGTAAGGGCTATTTCATTCCTGAAGATGTTCATTGCTACCAGGAAACCGGATTCATTTAAATTAACCCCTACAGATGTATTCAGAAATGCAGAGATTTTCATCATACAGGAGGTACAGATGGAACATTTCAGGACGGAAATAGACTGTGTAAGGTCCGGGTCAAGAATTCCATCTAACAGTACAATTCTGTCGCTAAACCCATATCTAAATGAAGACGGACTCTTGTGTGTCGGAGGTCGTTTGCGTTATTCACAGATTGATGTAAAGCAGAAAACACCAGTCATCATTCCTAAAGGACATGTTGCAGTACTGCTAGTCAGACATTACCACGCAGAGGTACGGCATCAGGGACGTCACTTTACAGAGGGAGCAGTCAGAGCAGCTGGATACTGGGTACTAGGGGGCAAGAGACTCATCTCTTCAACCATACACAAGTGTGTCAAGTGTAGGAAGATGAGGAAAAGGCCAGCCACGCAGCTTATGGCTGATCTTCCAAGTGACCGTCTCACACCTTCTCCTCCTTTCACATTTACTGGCGTTGACACATTCGGACCTTGGACTGTGGCATCATGAAGAACCAGAGGTGGTCTAGCACACAGTAAAAGGTGGGCAATCTTGTTTACTTGTTTAGTTTGCAGAGCAATCCACATTGA